CTCCATAAAAGCAGGGCCGGGCCAAACAAAAGGGGAAACCCTGCAGCCAATTCATACGATATGCTTCTCCGTGGGCCTCTGCTTCTCTCTGAAGTCGAGGATCAGAGGTGTATACACGGGTCGTTAAGGGAATGTTTTCTAAAGGGAGATTTGTGGTAAACCACTGAGACTGATTACTTCATAATAAAGTCTATGAGGGTAAACACGTAAAAACCATGGAAACACCCACCAAAGCTTCAGACATTAATGCAGATTATGACTTTTGAGCCCTGTATGTTAATATCTACACCAATTTTGAGGATGCTTGAATTTTGTGATAGAACATATAAAACTGTACTTTTTAAAAAAATGTAGTTGTATTGATGAAAGTTTGGTGCATTTTCAGGACAAAAGCTTTGGTCCTTGAGCTGCTGGCTGCTGTTTGTCTTGTCCGAGGAGGTCATGAGATCATCCTTTCAGCATTTGACAACTTCAAAGAGGTGCCTATTGCAACTTTTTAATGAATTTTTAACAAGCTCTCAAGTTGTTATGTTCAGGATTAAGTTGTAACATATCGCTGGCCTAGCTATGTCTGAATATACTAATCAAAATTTAAGTAACATCAATATAATTGCCCTAATTTCCCACATCACTGGCGTGCATAAAGGCATAAAGGTCAAGTGTAGCGGGCCGAAAACTGAGAAGCTCTGAGAGATTTTATCTATCTGAGGTTGCAAGCAAAGCTCTATGGTGGCGTGTCTGAGATTATTGGACTCATTAAGACATCAGATGTTAAGTAACCTTGAACAATAATCAGAGGATCACTTCCCAGTGGGAGCCAGTGAACCAGAAAGATTTGCTTAGCCTTTTTGCTTTTTGCTCGTACAGTCACCTAAACTCCGGAACCAGACAAAATGCCTTACAGTCCAAAGCCTCAGCGAGACCCAAGAGCTAATCAACTCTCTAGTGGAAACAACATAGTACTGCTGTTTTTCCAAAATGATGCATTAACACAAAGTGACAGGTGTCTGAGATCTCACAGGGAGAAGGTCACGTTTGCTATTCATTCTATGTTTTTATTCATTTCATTTATTCAACCTTTATTTAACCAGGAATTCTCTTGAGATTAACATCTCTTTGTCAAGGTGGACCTGGCCAAGATCGATAGCAGTTGCTGTTCATTTGCAGAAGTCTTTATGAGAGCTCTGAACTCTCCCAAGAAAAAAAAGCATTCAGCTGTAATGTGCTCTGACTGTTATTCTATGACTGAGGTGCCAAATAAGAGAATGCTGTTCTATAAAGCTCAGAGAAAAATCATAGCAGCTGTACTGGTCGTCAAATTTTAGATCCACAGCTACAGTGTTTGTGTGCAAGGAAAAGGATTTTTATTTCATCAACTTAAGAAACAACGTAAGTCAAACACTGAGATTATGTTGTTTGCAAGTAGAAAAACAGAATAAAAGAAATAGTTGATTTACCCTGATTATGCTTTTGTTGATAGAGCTGTAACACATCAGTGAAAGCAGCAGTTTATCAGATATTTGTTATGTCCACAGCACAACATTATGAAGCCATTGGCTTCATTGATTTTGCTGCATACTTCATGAACACCTCAGCATTGTGGTTTGCTCCAAAGGCATGATTTTTTTTCTTAATTAATAAATAAATAATTTGTAAAGTGTCATGGACAAAAAAAAACATGTAGTATGGTTGATTTTAGGTGATAAATATAGGTAATATTTCCCTAAGGTACCACTTTGACATTCAATAAAAAACGTCCTTTCTCGGGTCTCTTATTTTTTGTCTACATCGGACAAAGTTTTTGTTCTACTTTGTAAACCAGAGAAAAAAATCTTTATTTTGCTTCACCTGGTGTGTTTCAGGTTTGCAAAGAGAAGCATCGCTTCGAGAGACTGATGGATTACTTCCGCAGTGAAGAGGGAAACATTGACTTCATGGTAAGACAAGCGTTTAGTTACATACAGATGTGTCTTTTTTGTGTGAGAGTACATCCATCAGTACAAATAAAAATGTCTGGCTCAAATGCCAAAGGTATTTTTTATTATTATCTGTATAAAGGAAAACACACTTTTATACAAGGTGCAAATGCAAAATCCAGTGGACTATATGTCAGTTTTAAGATAAAATATCCTGATACAGATTATACGTATCAAGTATATAAAGAATATTAATGAGCTGGTGTCTGTTTGCATTTGTTCTCCAGGTTGCTTGCATGCAGTTCATCAACATTGTGGTCCACTCAGTTGAAGACATGAACTTCAGAGTGCATCTGCAGTATGAATTCACCAAACTGGGACTAGATGACTTCCTGGAGGTAAAGAAATAATGTTGTGCTTAAACTGGGCCAATCGCTCTCATTGTCCACGTGGAGACTATTCGCGGAGTGTCACTAATGTTGAATTTATTCTCTCTCGTGCCAGAAATCTAAACACACGGAGAGCGACAAGCTGTCGGTTCAGATCCAGGCTTACCTTGATAACGTATTTGATGTGGGTGGCCTGCTAGAAGATGCCGAAACCAAGAATGCAGCGCTGGAGAAGGTGGAGGAACTGGAGGAGCACCTGTCCCACGTAAGTGCACCACCCAGTCTGGACCACCAACACTGCTCTCTATACACATTTATGAGATTGTTGTGGTTCACCAGCTATGTACTTAAGTTGGCTGTTTCTACATGGCAATTAGAAATCTACTCGGTGTTTGCACTTCACAAGTGGTTCAGGATAATAATTGGGTGGGGAATGCTGGAAAATGGAGTGCGTGAAACAATCTTATTATTGTTCTCGTGTTGGCTCGGTCTTTCTGGGCTATTGCCTTTGTATCCCACGCTGCTTTGCAAAGACCTTCTTCACATGGAAAGGTCGTAGGCAGCCCCTGACATCATTCTTGGAATTTGAAAACAAACTCTGCTCTCAGAGGTCAGAAATGATGGGGGAGGAAGAGGGTGAAGATTCTCTCTGAATTCCTTAGCAAAGATGTGTAATGTAAAATCAAAACTGAGAGCTGTGTCATGTTATTGCTGCATCATGCTGCTCGCTGTATCTTATTTCTTAGTGATGATGCAGTGTATGGGGAGGAGGGATGGGGAAGTGGAGCTGGGAAAGATGCCCACTGTGTGGATCAATTCTTTCCTTCTCTCATCTCAGTGTTGCTCCATCTTCTCTTCTAGGTGACTGAGAAGCTTCTGGAGGTTGAGAATGAAACAATGATGAAAGTAGCCGATCTGGAGAAGCTGCTCATTCAGAAAGACAAGGAGCTGAACGTAATACGGGTAAGCCACAGTCCTATCGACGTGATATTTCTTGCTCTCCTCGCATCATAAAGGCTTCAGATTCCGTGCCTGTTAGCAGAGATCAGGTTCATATGCTTGTGGCTAAATTGCTGTATTAGCAAATTAGGTCACAAAGAGACAGGATGTTTGTTTAGCTTGTGGAGTCACTGTGCATTATGCTCTTTATCACCCCCTGGTGACTGCTCAGGAGACATACGAGTCAACCAGCACTCAGGTTAACACCCTGAGGAGGATGATCAAGGAGAAGGATGCTGCATTTCAGAGGCACTTCAACATTGAGAAGCGTCTGCTGGAGCTCGAACAGCAGGGCACCATCCGCTTGCACAAGAAACCTGATGGAGACATCGCCATCGAGCCGCTGGGCGTCGGCAGTGCCGGGATACCCTTGGGAAACATCGGAAAGCTGTCTTTGGGTTCAACGGCAGGGCTGACAGAACTAGGAGGACCCGACACAAGTTTACCACCAGCCAGCGAAGCACCTCCGCCTCCACCGCCTCCTCCCCCTCCCCCTCCCCTGCCATCTGCTTCAGGTGATGACAACACTGTGACTCGCAGTCTAGTGATTCATGTATATGTATGTGAAAGTTGACTTTCTCATCTGTGGACCCTCAGAGCAGATTTATTTTCAGTTCCCTATATTTGTTCATTCGTGCCAAACCAAGTGATGGGTCACAGCAGTGTTCTTCTAAGCCAGACAGGAAAGGGAAACATAAGGCTGGTTTCCTTTGTCTCCGGAAAGGCCGCACTGACTGTTGGAGCACTTTCCAGCCTTTTATCCAAACTAGACTTTATCAGGTTTCACTAACTTTAAAAATCCGTTTTCAGCGATTGTCAGGCCGAGGTGGCAGCTCACGTAGAACACGAAGCTGTTGCTAAACATGCAATAAAAATACTCTTCTGCATTAATTACAGGACACACTGCGCCAGTCCCACCACCACCTCCTCCCCTTGCTCCTCCTCTGCCAGAAGCTTCCCCCTCTGTCATCTTGAGCGTAGGTCTGTCAGGTGAGCGTGCACACAAAATTAAACTTGGTTGTCTTTGCCTTCGATTTTGATGTTCAAGGTTGACTAGATCAGAGGATTGTGGGTGGCAGGAGGTAGAGTGGATTACTAATCTGAAGGTCGGTAGGTTGATCCCTGGCTCCTCTAGTCTGTGCGCTGAAGTGTCCAGAACTCTAAGATGCATCCGTCGGAGTATAAGTGTGTGAACGATAGGCGAAAATCACTTAGCCATAGAAAAAGATGGTTGTATGAATGTGTGTAAGTGGCTGAATAAAGCTTCGCGTTGAAAAGTGGTATATAAGTACCGTTCATTCTGAATTCAACGAACACTTTCTTCACCACAGCTATCAGGATCAAGAAGCCTATAAAGACCAAGTTCCGTTTGCCTGTGTTTAACTGGACGGCCTTGAAGCCCAATCAGATCAATGGCACAGTCTTCAACGAGATCGATGATGAACGTGTGCTAGAGGTAAATCAAGAAGATAAAACCTCTTTCATGTTAAGATGTAGGTCTTGGTTAATATGTGTCAAATTTGAATTTATGGTAAATTAGTATTAATCTCAGTAAAACTTTTCCATAGTCAAAAGCTCAGGTTTCTCTAGTCTCTTCCAGTTGAGTTCAAACCTTAATAAGAGGAAAAAGTAAAGCAAAACTAAACTTAAATGATAAGAGCAGTGTGTCGCGAAATAACCAGCTTCATACCAACACCATAACACTTATGTGTTCAGGACTTTTAACATCAATTTAGAGCAAGTAAAAGTTGAGTTGTTATTCACATGCAGGAGCTGGAGCTGGAGAGGTTTGAGGAGCTATTTAAGACGAGAGCCCAGGGTCCAGTTGTGGATCTTTCCTGCACAAAGAGCAAAGTAGCCAATAAGGTGGCAAACAAAGTCACACTTCTGGACGCCAATCGCTCCAAGAACTTAGCCATCACACTGCGAAAGGCTAACAAGACAACAGAAGAGATCTGCAAAGCCATAGAGAAGTATGCACCTGTCTTTTACGTAAACTTTACATACTTACATAATTTTCTGTGGAACAAGTTACAGGTAACGTGTTATCTTCACTCAGGTTTGACCTCAAGGCCTTACCTGTCGACTTTGTGGAGTGCCTGATGCGTTTCCTGCCCACCGAGGCAGAAGTGAAGGTGATGCGTCAGTACGAGCGCGAGCGGCGTCCGCTGGATCAGTTAGCAGAGGAGGATCGCTTCATGTTGTTATTCAGCAAGATCGAGAGGCTGACGCAGAGAATGAACATTATCACCTTTGTTGGAAACTTTGCCGACAACGTGAGCATGCTCACGCCACAGCTCAACGCCATCATTGCTGCTTCTGGCTCAATCAAGTCGGCACCAAAGCTCAAGAGGATGCTTGAAGTGAGATGTGTTTGTTGACTTTCACAGCAGCAGCGTTTGTATTTTTTAATGCATATATTCACTCGGTGCTTTTGGTTTACTCGTAGATCATCTTAGCCCTAGGAAACTACATGAACAGCAGCAAACGAGGCTGCGTTTATGGTTTCAAATTACAAAGCCTTGATCTGGTGAGTAATCAGTAGTGATGTTTACTGGAATTCCAGTCAGCACAAAAGTGTGCTGCAGAGTTTATTATTAAATTGCTTTTCCTAACAATGTTTTTTACACAGCTTCTGGACACTAAGTCTACAGACAGAAAGATGACATTGCTCCACTACATAGCTCTTATTGTGAAAGAGAAGTACCCTGAACTGACCAACTTCTACAATGAATTGCACTTTGTGGACAAAGCTGCAGCAGGTGAGCGTGCACCAAATATTAAACTCTGTCAGCAACCTCGTGGAGATGCAGTATTTTCACAGAAAGGTCAGGTGTTAACATCTGGATAAAACGCTACGTAATATACTTAAAATATGCTCTGATGTCTGCGTGCAAAGTGTCTCTGGAAAACGTCCTGCTGGATGTTCGAGAGCTGGGGAAAGGCATGGACCTCATCCGGAGAGAGTGCAGTCTCCACGACCACTCAGTCCTGAAAGGTTTTGTCCAGGCTAGTGACTCACAGCTGGACAAGCTACAGAAGGACGCCAAGATGGCAGAGGTATCCGACAGCGTCTTCACCTCCAAAACCTCAAATTATCCGCTGGAACAAATGAAAATGAAACCTTTTTCGTTCATTCATCTCACTGACATCTGATGCGCAGCCACTAACTCGACAGTGTTTACAAACATTCTCTTTCCCAATTCCAGGAAGCCTTTAACAGTGTGGTGAGCTACTTTGGAGAAAGTGCCAAGACGGCTCCACCCTCCGTGTTCTTCCCTGTGTTTGTGCGCTTCATCAAGGCGTACAAGGTGAGGACGCCAAGCAGAAGCTACATCTCTGTAGCTTTCCTCACTTCCTCAGCTGGTCATTTGGGAAGTTCCCTGGTTATCTGTCAGCCTTGCTGAGAGCAGAGCGGGGCAGAGCTTTGGCTGCTTTTGTGGCACAGGACGTGGCGTATACTCCCAGGCCAAATAACAGGAAAGGCCAGCTGGGTCTGACTTTAGAAGCTGCAGCTGTGGTGTTAGACTCGTCCCCCCCTTTACCTCCGGACTGCCTCGCCCTGCCCCAACACACAGCACGCATCCTGAGATTGTTCTCCATCTAGATTTATGGGATCTGCTCAAGGAAATGTGCAACACAAGGATTTCATGTGTCTGTTTGAGTGTGCGCATGTGCTCTAAAGGAACTGTTTAACAAACACTTGTTGCCTCGAGTAATAGAATATAGTTTTCTACAGTTTTTAAGGCCTCTTATTGTCAGACATAGAAGCTTTAATTTAACTTAAGTGAGAGCCCAAATAAACAGAACAGCCAGGAGTTGCCGTAAAGCCACAATACTAAACAAACTAACGAGAAAGAGAAGGTTACAATTTCAAGCCCAAACTTCAAATTAACACGAGAAAAACTGGAAGAAAATGGGCTGAAAATGTTCTGTGTCCCGTAGAGCTTACTGTCAGTCAGTTAAAGACGTTAAAGAAGAAAGAGTATCTTTAAATAATTTGTTGCTAACTGTGAAATCACCTGCTTTTTTAGTGGCCTAGGAACAAGTTATCGCTGAGATTCTTTGTGTTCTTGGAGAGAAACTATTGTTCTGTCATCCACAGCAAATCAGCTCAGATTATCTGGTTTAAAAAAAAAAAACGAAACACATTGTCAGATTTTGTTCATTTTGATTCAAGTCAGGGAAGCTGTTGCCTTGTTTTTAATATTTCTGCCCAGCTTGGCTGATTTATAATTATCTAAAGTGTCATATTCACCATACTTATTGATCCCTTTGTTTATCTTTCTCCGTATGTCAAACTGTTCATTTAAGCGCGTGCGTGGTCCTGGTCATGTTTAGTAAAGCGTGGCTTTCCTGTTTATGCCCAGCTTTTCAACTGTTTTTTCTTTGCTTCACATGGCCACACAAAAGCACGTTGTTGGATTTATTTCCACTGAAGTTTCTTGTCACAGATGTGTCATCTATTTCTCTTCAACAGGATGCAGTGGAAGAAAATGAACAGAGGAAAAAGCAAGAGGAAGCAATGAGAGAAAAGTTACTGGCTCAGGAGGCGAAGCAGCATGACCCTAAGGTGCAGCCCGCTGGATGAACTCTATCACGTATTTACTCAGTGCTAAATAAAGCTTTTTCGTAGGCCAAGAATCACAGTGAAAACGAACAAATATCCTTTCCACTGGTTCAGGTTCAGGCCCAGAAGAAGAGGCACCAGCAGCAGGAGCTGATCGCAGAGCTGCGCAGGCGGCAAGCCAAAGACCACCGGCCTGTGTACGAGGGCAAGGATGGCACTATTGAAGACATTATCACAGGTGGGCCAGACAGGACTGTTAAAAGAACCCATGTGCGTGCCAGCAGCCCCGGTGTTCCCAGGCTGAGGATGACTGTGGTCATCGACTGCTCAGCTCCTTTGAAGTGCACCTTGTGCTACGTGCTTCAGACACCAGCACTGGAGCACAGCAAATAGCAAGCGTTGTTCCATGCCATGCTGTCTAGTCTGTTAGGGGAAATGCTGCTGGGTATCAAAGTGTGTGTTTTCAGAAAGGCCGGGTCTCAAGAAGTAAATTGAGGTACTAATAATTAGGATCCACGACAGCCTCAAGCAGCTGTTCCTGGAGGGATCATGTTTTTGGCTTTCTATACCTCCATACCTCTTTAATGTCCTCTAATCTGGCACAAAAAAGTCACTTGTACTATAATTTCAAAGATCGCCGTGACCTCATAACAAAATTTTTGCTCAAAACTAAAGTCTAACTATGACAAAATTGGAGGAAAAATGATAAAATGATGACATGTTGTATCCAAAAGATCAAAAGGTTAACTTAGCTGTGATTGAGCAACATTATAATGTTGGGCTAACATACTTTTTTGCCCACTGTTTGAATGTCGTAAGACAGAAGTGGAGATTGGGAGGTAGGTAGGTGCCTGTCTTCACTGCTCGTACTATACCAGTCTGGACAGACGTGGATATAAACTGCACACGAGCAGAATAGCAGAATATTCTGTTTGCAAAGAGCGGACAGTGATTGGGCAGTGTGCAATTTCGTTTCCTACATTAAATTTTTGGAGATGCCAAAGTTAAATCATCTTGCAACACACCTACGTATTTTAAGCCTTTATTGGGAGAAAACCCTGCATCTACAGCCTCAGCGTAGCACATAACCTAACTGATGTTTTTGTGATGATCATTAATAACTGTCTAAAGTGTAAATAATATGAATGTTGCTTCATTATACTTTAGTGTTAATAATAGGAATAATTGTGTGTCACTACTATCAGAGCTCTAACTGTGTTTTATCCAGTGGACGGCTTTCAGGACATGTCCTTAACCTTATTAAGAACGTTAGGCTTTCACAAGGTTTGCCCCTCCCCCTTAGGGCAGTGTTTCAGGTGTGACATGTTTTCTCTTCCTCCGCCTCCTCCCCGTACTGAAGAGCGTGCCCTTCACGGCCCGCACTGCTAAACGCGGCTCACGTTTCTTCTGTGAAGCCAACCTCTGTGACGACGCCAACTGCTAGCCCTTCCCCTTTAATGCCAAGGTTGACCAGGTTTCTCTCATACGCATTTTGAACCCCCCACCCTCCCTCGCAACCCACTACCATACCTCCATGTGCATGCAGCATGATTTCTGTCATCCCACCCCACCCTCAACTATGACTACTGATGACTAACTCGGGCCGTCACTGGTTGTTTGTGTTGAGAAGACTCCTATCAGGTGTCTGGTGATAGGAGTCAGCCAAACCTCTTTGCCTGGAGCTGAGAAAGTTGCATTGAGTGTCAATATGTTTGTGTGTAAAATATGTTGACACGCTTGCAGTACAGTCCTGACTGTGATCACGTGTAGGACATCATGCATGACACAGTAGGCTTTTGCGTTATTATGCCATATTTCTTTCAAATTATCCGATACCAACGGACTGAATCTAAAGAGGTTTGGCTAGCAGACTGTTTTATTTATCAGCACTGCCTTGTTCCATGAGACTAACTTGTTTGGTGTTGGTTTTTCCGGCTAACATGTGACTCTTCTTTCCTCAACCACCACTGTTTATTCTGCCCCCTCCAGCTGAAAAGAAGATTAATGACAGTATTTCCCACTCCTAGGAGAGGGTAAGAAAGGTAGCCTGGCTGAAAGCCGGCCTGCTTGGCCCTCCAGCTCCTGTGTGCTGCTACAGTGATGTCAGCTGCTTCAGCTAGTGCTTCAGTTGCAAGCAAAGAAACACACACACACACACACACACACACACACACACACACACATTTTAGAACACTATAAAATTTGCTAGCAAACAACACAAAGTTGAACTTGTAAAAAGAAGAAGTCAGCATAGTATTAAAAAGAAACAACTTACCTGCTTTTAAAACAGCCATTAAAATATGAACTCAGGTGTTTAAGTGTCTACAAAGCCCACCTCAGAAGCAACACCAGTGGCATTTTTCTTTTAGTATTAATGTCAAATTTATTCCTTAGAAATGAGTATCATCCTCACCCCTTCCTGTTACGTGTTGCATGTTGTCCATTGTTTATTTACCTCTCACCAGTCGGCAGCGTCCGCCATGTTTGTCTGTGCTAAATGTCATCTGCGGTGTGCTCAACAGCTATTTGGTCAACAGGCTCTAGAAGAAAACAGAATCAAACTTACGTGAACACAGTCTGTATCCACACTTTTGTTTCCTCTGTGACAGCCATCCTGTTTGGTAATCTGCAAACTCAAGAGCTTGTTGACCACTGTATCGTAACCAGAGTGGTTACTTTGTAACGTCCTCATTGTTTAGTGTTACTGATTTGCCAAAATCACCGTCTCAAAGCCTTGAATTTCTCCGTTTTGAAGCACAACTTCTAGCAGTTGAAATACAAGGCTATGGGAATGTGGCATTCCTGCCACATTTGCTAATTTTGTAGCTCTTATGGACAATTTCAGCTTTAACCCAAAGTTTTAACTGCACAAGTGTTTCCAGATTTTCTGGATTTGAAAATTATAACAATAAACACTCAGTTGTCAGTTTATTAGGGAGCTCAAACTAATGCAGACTAACAACAGTCCTGCAATAAAGGCAACTTTTCATAGTTTCATCTTCATTGTAAAAAAGAGGAAATATGGTTTGTGGTGCTGTTTTCATGTACTGCATTATACAGTAAGGTGTTCCTATTTTCTTTTTTTTTTTAGCTTAACCTCATTTACAGAAATGAGGGAACAACTGATATAAATTAGGTGTACCTAATAAAGTGAGAACTGAGTGTACATCCTCTGCTCTTCTTGCTTAAAAACACTCTTAAGAAATTGAGATGTAAACAGAAGCAAATGTCCAGATTGACCTCTTGGTCGTCTAACATGTGTGTCCCCCTGTCTCTCACCCCCTCTCCATGCCTACTCACAGATCTCCGAAACCAGCCTTTCCTGCGAGCGGACGCGTTGATCCGGAGCGGTTGGAAGAGACCCTAAACCACTTATTCGTCACTTATAGTCCCCTCCCTATTGTAACCCTTCCCTTTGTCCCAGTGGCGCATCTCAACCCTGAGGCTGCAGATCACAAAGACTGAAAAGCGAGGACAGGACAAAGCCCTTGTTTTAGCCCGGTAATTTATTTATTTATGGATGCCCTTTTACAACCACTTTAAATGAGCAGGCATGATTACAGAAGCACAACGCGCTACTACTCCTTCGTCACCGCGAGCAGAAGGCTTTCCCTGCTCTGTCGGCACTGACCTTTGGGAGGATGACCAGAGCACAGGTGAGGCCATCTGAGGACTGGAGGAGGAATTGTGCTTTCACTAACAAGTGCCTGCTAGCATGTGGATCTTAATGTGGACATTCCTAAAACCCATTAATATCCGAAGGTTACGCAGTCATAGCAGGATTTAAACTGGGAGGCAGCCAAGATAAATTGCCGACTCTTCTGCTGCTGCTGGGACGCCTGCCTTTAAGACACCTGCAAAAGCCTCCTGCAAATAACAGAGGAGGTGCGATGTTATAACAGACATTCGTGGACTGTTTCGCAGCGTTACGCCAAGTCTTCGAGACGCCTTCAATCAGACTTAATATTGTTTATTTTGATTGTATCTGGGAGCAAAGACCATCACTGTACTGGTTCTTCTTGTCAAGCTAGACAAACCAAATTAATCCAAAGTTTGATGTTCCGCTTAAGAAGTGCCTTTTTGTGTTATTTCTCGTCAGTCAGCCATAATTTGTTTATTTTACATCTTTCATTTGGTAAAGATTGTATTTTTTACCGCCTTGTAATATAACATTAGCCTTATAATCCTGACAACAATATGCAAGTTGAAGGCACAAAAAAAGCTTAAAGGTATGTTAGTTCCTTTTTACCTCTAGTACATCAGAACAGCTGACACGAGAGTCCCCAGAGTTTTGTGCCTTGACCAAGTGGTGGTTAAAAACAGAATATTACGTGCCTTGACAACACTTCCTGTCACACCGTGCGTGACAGTTAGGAGGTGACAGACGCATGAAGGAGACTCCAGGTGGACTACTGTTTCAAAGGCACACTTGCTGTTTGGTTAGCCTGCTCTAAATGTATTATTAACAGATGAAGGATGAAGTGCATTTAAAGCTTCTTTTTCTTATCCGTTTTAATACAGATTATTCCTCCTAACAGCTTTAGAGACTTGCATGACATTGGCACAAAGGGAGCAATACATCTTAACACTACTTAAATTTGGCTCAAGATTGTATAAAACACTATTCTTGTGTGTACTGAAATCAAAAGAAACATACTTTTTTTTTTAAGAAAAAGCTATTCTTGGGATTGTCTGTTGACTGAAAGACAACACTTCCTGTTTAATAAATATGATGATTTATGTAACAAGACCAAAGACTTTCATTACAATTCAGAAGCCTTTCCAGATTAAGCAACATCCAAACAAGTGCTTTCTACATGTTTGTGTTTTATTTCTTCATTCTTTAATGATAAGTGAGGCTATTTCCTAATGTACTGAAGTATGAAGTAGACTGCTTCTCCTCTCCATCTTTCCAAATGACAGACACGGCCATCGTACATTTCTACTATAAAAATCCATTTAATTCCTTATATCAAAAAGAAATCGAATTATAACAAAACAATCAGAACCACAAACGTGGGTTTTTGCCAGTTAAAGAAATTCTCCAAATGAAATATGATTGTTCCAACTTACATGGCGATTTAACAGAGCAGGATGTTAAAAGCAAATAAGCAAGAAAAAAAACAGAATTTAAAGAAAAAATGTGATGAATACTGTTAACATTTGAGGACTAAAGCCAGAGTTTCCTCTTGGTTAAGTGTGTCTCTGTGTGTGTGAGCACCATGCAGTGATATGGTAGGTATGGCTGACAAGCTGAGGTGATTAAAAGCAATACGGTGAGCAGTGAGACATAGAGCCACACTTCCCAGACTAAAAATCCGGATGGTTAGCAGCAAAGCAAAGGAATGGAGAAAGGAATGCTTATCAGGAAGCCGATCAGTCTCCTTCCTGAGAATGCACTTAACAATGAGCATTAACCTAAATTACATGTCCATGTAATTACATACAGTGAAGGAAAGAAAAAAAAATCCAACCTCCCACAGAAGTACGTACCATCAGACGGTCTCCCTGGCCTTTCCTGAAAGTATGTTTACAATCAAAAGACGAGGAACAAAAGTTGAAAGCAACCGTTCTCGGCTAATTACTGGTCGCAGGTTCTTTTTTTTTTTAGAGGATGACCGGAAATTCACAGAAGCTTGTCTCTACTCCAGAAGAGTTTCAGAACAAAGCCCAGCTCCTGTCCAGGGTGTCCTGCAGTAGGCTAATCCAAGGCCACGGATATCATCCCAGGCTTTTTCATCCTGGAATGTGGACTTAATTACAATCATCTTCATCCAGCGCACACTAACACACTGCCATGATTCATTCATCGGTGACACAAAGTATGTCAATTATACAATGACTTAAAAAAACAAAAGAAAAACATTAAAAAGTACAGACTGCTATTTGTTACTGATGTTTGTATTCCTGGGTATATTTTCAAGACACTTTGTTAATAGGTTCATATATATGGAAATATATATATTTATAATATATATATATATGTAACTTTAGTCTGTGCAAGGAGGTAAAAGACAATCACTTGAATGTAGCTCTTTGCAACAACAGATCAGATGCCGAGTCTCTTGTGCATACACGTGCAGTTAAACATCACCTCGCCTTTCCCTCTAAGACCTCCAGTAGCAAACATACATATACACAAAATGTGAACCAGCATCCAGGAAGCATTCGTGGTGAGCACTGACGCATCGCCTCTCTTTCATGAACAACGAAGACTTGGCAACATTTTCTAGGATGGAACAAAAATGGTTTTTTTCTCTTTTCCCTACACAATTTATACAAAAATAAAAAATTAAAATTGTTCCACTGCCATTTGTATCTTTTACATTTGCACAGAGGTAGTGGCTGAATGCGTGAGAAAGGTGTGTGTGTGTGTGTGTGTGTGTGTGTGTGTGTGTGTGTGTGTGTGTGTGTGTGTGTGTGTGTGTGTGTGAGAGAGAGAAGTTGTGAGGAAGTGAGCAAAATGAAAAAGAACTGGATAAAATGTCTATAAAATGGTTTCTTTTCCGTCACCAGAGGATTTGTTTTCCTTTTTGTCAAAGAACAAAATATAATACTGCAATCACTTAAAAAAAGTAGTTCTTCATTTTATACATTTTATACAGTGTTCTCGTTTTTATGTTTTTTTGTTGCTTTTCTTTTCAGTTGGTAAAGGCATAAATGAGAGAGCTCGCTGGCTCTAGGTTGGGCGAGGCAGGGCAATGTTGGCAGAGTTCAGTCCATGCCGAGGTCTATGCCAGGGGGTCGCTCATGTCCTCGTCAACCTGGGAGAGGAGCTCCTTCTTTTCATCAGTGCTCGCCAGAGAATTGCGGCTGTTGTGGGCACCCATGTACAGGGTGGCATACACTGGGTTCGTGAAGTTGGTGGGCTGCGGAGTGAAGAAAATTTCTCAGTGACTCAGGCAAAAGAAATGAAAAGATTTGGTATATTGTGAAAGAAGCAGTATTTTTCTTATTCAAATAGGCTCAGCTCGCATAAATAACAAGATGTTTCCCAGCTCAGTGCTGAAACCCTGGCAGACATTTGTGGTTTGTTATGTTTTCTGTGTTTGGTTATTTGTTTCTGAAAGTCTGGGCACTAATCATCTGCCCCCAACAAACCAGTAGGTGTATTTCCAGTGAAGAACTTGCAACTTCTTTTTAAGCACTCAGGACTTTATGGACAATTCCTCATTTGATGTTTTATGATTGTGGTGAAAAGTGTTTGAATATAGTGACCATGAGGGCTCCAGCATAAAAGCTTTATTCAGCTGCTCCCCTTATTCACAGTGGATTTCCGTTCCTGACACCCCAAGGGATTTTTGTCTCCAGCTGGGATTAAACTGGAGATTTTTTCACTTCTTAGGTGAATGTAAAAGAAATGGTATTTATATAGTGCCTTGTGCTTTTATCTGCTGAATGCATTCACACACACAGAGGTAACTCAGGGTTCAGTATCTTGCCCAAGCATTGATCTGTATACAAACCACTCGAGCCACAACGTGTAAACCATGAGACTATGGAGCCACTCATCAGAACTAAAGTATATGATTCACATAATTCTAACAATATTCATTCCAAAATTCATTACAGATGCCAGAAGTAAATACCATAACGACACCCACTGGTTTCCTAAGTCTTGCTTTAAAGCTTTTGCATTTGGACTGTGGTGATCTCGATGGCAAAAAACTGGATATAAATGTAGAAAAGTGATTACAGATCAGTCAAGACAGAAAACTGTTTTTCACTAGACGTCCAAAGGACAGGAATATATTGAGAAACCCAGCTACTTTCATCCAGTGTTCTTTAGATCACAAAGAAGGGTCTATTTACTGTCTATAATGACTCCACAACCAAAACCAATTCATTAAAAAAAAAAAAAAACTCACAAAAGGACTCATAAATGTGGAAATATCTGCATGGTTAGCCACTACCAGGCATTTTCAGATATTTTGTAATGAAACTGCTTTTTTAAGCTTTGTTACCTTGTCTGGGTCTAAAGCAAAGTCGGAGTCCAGAAGTTCCCCAGCATCATCATCAGGATCTCCTTCATAGATCTTATAGGCAGGGTTTCCAATCTCAACATTCATGGCCCGTGGTCATTCGGTGGTGCTGGAAGCCCTTGGCACTGCAGAGAAACAGATCAACAATTATCTTAGAAGCAGATTCAGACCCTTGTTTAAAAGAATTGATGTGCTAACCTCAGAAGAAAGCTAGAGTGACTAAAAGGTGTCTTATCATAAACCCATATCATAAATTCACTCAGCACTGGCTATGTACAATTGACAAGAACAAGACAACATATATCAAAGGTTTTCAAATGAGCTTTTGTGTCAAAAGGCCATTTGATCAAACTATCGAATATACTGCAGCATGTCCATTGCGGAGAATGCTGGATTAGATTGCAAATATTCGGCTGTTGCAAGCATATAAACATTTTCAGAGATGCACAGTTATACATTTTACTCTGCAAGCACATTGCCTGAGCCTAATATTTACAAATGTAAACAGGGAAAGGCATGGAGGACAATGGGAGGACGTCAAAAGTTCAACTACTCGTGCATCACCAGAGCTATTCCAGAGTGAGTAGGCCCCTGTGTTGTTGGGTGGGAAACCCCATGGAAGCCAAACAGAAGATGGCAAGCGAGGACAATGGAAAGATTTCGGCACTGAACGACAGAATGGACAAAAGGATAGACAAAAGCATAGCAAAGGCAGTCTGACTGTATTTTAGGGAAAGGAGAGAGAGGAATTGGGGTCAACAGGTGAATTATGTAACCCTATCAAGTTACCGCGAGCACTGAGAACGAGATTTGCCCGGGCATAGAGACCTGGGAGACAGGGAAATAGATGGTTATCAAAGGTAAGAGAGAAAGAAAGACCAGAACGGTGAGGACCAGATGACAAATGGAGTTTGAATTTTTTAAAGATGAAAAAGCGTCCCGAACTAGTACTCACCCACGCATTCTCTGCTTGTACCACAAGATGGCACCAACCACCAGCAATGCCAGCAACAGCAGCAGCACTGGGACGATGATTGACGCAGTACCTATGAGTGAACAAATAATGATAAGCAAATAGGACCAAAGTGCATGTTCTATGAACAAACTTTGATTTGGTCAGGGAGTGGCTGACTTACTACCACTAGAAGTATGAGACTCTATAGGAGCTGTGATATCACATCTGTATCCCTCCATCCAACAGCACACCTGGTTATAGAGGTACACAGTGGATATGTGGGTAAGTGTGCTAAGCGGACATTAAAACAATAAAATATTATATATATGCCTGTTAATGTCTACTGGGATCTTACGTGCACTGTGGCAGCAGTGTGCGATTGTCTACTGAACACTGTCCATGTGCGCAGTAGTTTGAACAGGTATAGCAGCTGGGTTGGATCTGACCATTTGGACAGCTTCAAACATACAGGAAAAAAATATTAAAGAAGATCCTAATGCAGCAGAATAACAATAATAATAATGATTCCCACGATTTCAGAATGATATATTCCATGCTGTGCACTGTTAGGAAGCACAAAATCCACAGATTGCTGGGTGACCTTGGGTGAAGAATATTCTGGCAGTTCAAAATAAAAGCCAGCAAATATTTACAAATCCAAGTCTAATCGATGTAGCACAGTAACCACGTCCCACACGATACTCACCTGCAGGAAACCTCCCCTGAGGCTGACGTCAAACATTGCCCGTTCCGCAGAACTGACATTTGTCCAGCTCACACTGGTGCCCGACGTACTTGGTGGGGCACAGACAAAGTTTGGTGCCGTTGGAGGTCTGTAAGCAGGTTCCACCATTCTCGCAGAAGCCTTAAGACAGCAAAGAAAGAGAAGATGGCAACGGACCGGTAACCCATAACAACGCATGTAAACGCATGGCAACGGACAGTTAACCCATAACAACGCATGTTAACGCATGGCAACGGACATTTAACCCATAACAACACATGTAAACGCATGGCAACGGACAGTTAACGCATGGCAACGGACAGTTAACCCATGGCAACGGTCAGGTAACCCATGGCAACAGACCGGTTACCATGGCAACGGACCGGTTACCATGGCAGCGGACCGGTTACCATGGCAACGGACCGGTAACCCATGGCAACGGACCGGTTACCATGGCAACGGACCGGTTACCCATGGCAACGGACAGTTAACCCATAACAACGCATGTAAACGCATGGCAACGGACAGTTAATGCACGGCAACGGACAGTTAACCCATGGCAACGGTCATATAACCCATGGCAACGGACAGTTAACCCATAACAACGCATGTAAACGCATGGCAACGGACAGTTAACCCATAACAACGCATGTAAATGCATGGCAACGGACAGTTAACGCATGGCAACGGACAGTTAACCCATGGCAACGGTCATATAACCCATGGCAACGGACAGTTAACCCATAACAACGCATGTAAACGCATGGCAACGGACAGTTAACCAATAACAACACATGTAAACGCATGGCAACGGACAGTTAACCCATAACAACGCATGTAAACGCATGGCAACGGACAGTTAACCAATAACAACACATGTAAACGCATGGCAACGGACAGTTAACGCATGGCAACGGACAGTTAACCCATGGCAACGGTCAGGTAACCCATGGCAACGGACCGGTTACCATGGCAACGGACCGGTTGCCATGGCAACGGACCGGTTACCATGGCAACGGACCGGTAACCATGGCAACGGTCATATAACCCATGGCAACGGACAGTTAACCATAAACAACACATGTAAACGCATGGCAACGGAGAGTTAACGCATGGCAACGGACAGTTAACCATGGCAACGGTCAGGTAACCCATGGCAACGGACAGGTTGCCATGGCAACGGACCGGTAGCCATGGCAACGGACCGGTTACCATGGCAACGGACCGGTAACCCATGGCAACGGTCATAACCCATGGCAACGGACAGTTAACCAATAACAACACATGTAAACGCATGGCAACGGACAGTTAACGCATGGCAACGGACAGTTAACCCATAACAACGCATGTAAACGCATGGCAACGGACAATTAACCCATAACAACGCATGTAAACGCATGGCAACGGACAGTTAACGCATGGCAACGGACAGTTAACCCATGGCAACGGTCATATAACCCATGGCAACGGACAGTTAACCCATAACAACGCATGTAAACGCATGGCAACGGACATTAACCCATAACAACACATGTAACACATGGCAACGGACAGTTAACGCATGGCAACGGACAGTTAACCCATGGCAACGGTCAGGTAACCCATGGCAACGGACAGGCTTCCATGGCAACGGACCGGTTGCCATGGCAACGGACCGGTTACCATGGCAACGGACCGGTAACCCATGGCAACGGACGGTTACCATGGCAACGGACCGGTAACCCATGGCAACGGACAGTTAACCCATAACAACGCATGTAAACGCATGGCAACGGACAGTTAACCCATAACAACGCATGTAAACGCATGGCAACGGACAGTTAACGCATGGCAACGGACAGTTAACCCATGGCAACGGTCATATAACCCATGGCAACGGACAGTTAACCCATAACAACGCATGTAAACACATGGCAACGGACAGTTAACCCATAACAACGCATGTAAACGCATGGCAACGGACAGTTAACCAATAACAACACATGTAAACGCATGGCAACGGACAGTTAACGCATGGCAACGGACAGTTAACCCATGGCAACGGTCAGGTAACCCATGGCAACGGACCGGTTACCATGGCAACGGACCGGTTGCCATGGCAACGGACTGGTTACCATGGCAACGGACCGGTAACCCATGGCAACGGAACCGGTTACCATGGCAACGGACCGTAACCCATGGCAACGGACAGTTAACCCATAACAACGCATGTAAACGCATGGCAACGGACAGTTAACCCATGGCAACGGTCATATAACCCATGGCAACGGACAGTTAACCATAACAACGCATGTTAACGCATGGCAACGGACATTTAACCCATAACAACACATGTAACGCATGGCAACGGACAGTTAACGCATGGCAACGGACAGTTAACCCATGGCAACGGACAGTTAACCCATGGCAACGGTCATATAACCCATGGCAACGGACAGTTAACCCATAACAAATGTTAACGCATGGCAACGGACATTTAACCTATAACAACGCATGTAAACCATGGCAACGGACAGTTAACCCATGGCAACGGACAGTTAACCCATAACAACGCATGTAAACGCATGGCAACGGACAGTCAACCATAACAACACATGTAAACGCATGGCAACGGACAGTTAACCCATGGCAACGGTCAGGTAACCCATGGCAACGGACCGGTTACTATGGCAACGGACCGGTTGCCATGGCAACGGACCGGTAACCCATGGCAACGGACCGGTTACCATGGCAACGGACCGGTAACCCTGGCAACGGACAGTGAACCCATAACAATGCATGTAAACGCATGGCAACAGACAGTTAACCCATAACAACGCATGTAAACGCATGGCAACGGACAGTTAACCCATAACAACGCATGTAAACGCATGGCAACGGACAGATAACCCATGGCAACGGACAGTTAACCCATAACAACGCATGTAAACGCATGGCAACGGACAGTTAACGCATGGCAACGGTCATATAACCATGGCAACGGACAGTTAACCCTAACAACGCATGTAAACGCATGGCAACGGACAGTTAACCAATAACAACACATGTAAACTCATGGCAACGGACAGTTAACGCATGGCAACGGACAGTTAACCCATGGCAACGGTCAGGTAACCCATGGCAATGGACCGTTACCATGGCAACGGACCGGTTGCCATGGCAACGGACCGGTTACCATGGCAACGGACCGGTAACCCATGGCAACGGACCGGTTACCATGGCAACGGACCGGTAACCCATGGCAACGGACAGTTAACCCATAACAACGCATGTAAACGCATGGCAACGGACAGTTAACCCATAACAACGCATGTAAACGCATGGCAACGGACAGATAACCCATGGCAACGGACAGTAACCCATAACAACGCATGTAAACGCATGGCAACGGACAGTTAACGCATGGCAACGGACAGTTAACCATGGCAACGGTCATATAACCCATGGCAACGGACAGTTAACCCATAACAACGCATGTAAACGCATGGCAACGGACAGTTAACCCATAACAACGCATGTAAACGCATGGCAACGGACAGATAACCCATGGCAACGGACAGTAACCCATAACAACGCATGTAAACGCATGGCAACGGACAGTTAACGCATGGCAACGGACAGTTAACCCATGGCAACGGTCATATAACCCATGGCAACGGACAGTTAACCCATAACAACGCATGTTAACGCATGGCAACGGACATTTAACCCATAACAACGCATGTAAACGCATGGCAACGGACAGTTAACGCATGGCAACGGACAGTTAACCCATGGCAACGGTCAGGTAACCATGGCAACGGACCGGTTACCATGGCAACGGACCGTAACCCATGGCAACGGACCGGTTTCCATGGCAACGGACCGGTTACCATGGCAACGGACCGGTAACCCATGGCAACGGACAGTTAACCCATAACAACGCATGTAAACGCATGGCAACGGACAGTTAACCCATAACAACGCATGTAAACGCATGGCAAAGGACAGTTAACCAATAACAACACATGTAAACGCATGGCAACGGACAGTTAACGCATGGCAACGGACAGTTAACCCATGGCAACGGTCAGGTAACCCATGGCAACGGACCGGTTACCATGGCAACGGACCGGTTGCCATGGCAACGGACCGTAACCCATGGCAACGGACCGGTTACCATGGCAACGGACCGTAACCATGGCAACGGACAGTTAACCCATAACAACGCATGTAAACGCATGGCAACGGACAGTTAACCCATAACAACGCATGTAAACGCATGGCAACGGACAGTTAACCCATAACAACGCATGTAAACGCATGGCAACGGACAGATAACCCATGGCAACGGACAGTTAACCCATAACAACGCATGTAACGCATGGCAACGGACAGTTAACCCATGGCAACGGTCATATAACCCATGGCAACGGACAGTTAACCCATAACAACGCATGTAAACGCATGGCAACGGACAGTTAACCATAACAACGCATGTTAACCATGGCAACGGACAGTTAACCCATGGCAACGGACCGTTACCATGGCAACGGACCGGTTACCCATGGCAACGGACAGTTAACCCATAACAACGCATGTAAACGCATGGCAACGGACAGATAACCCATGGCAACGGACAGTTAACCCATAACAACGCATGTAAACGCATGGCAACGGACAGTTAACGCATGGCAACGGACAGTTAACCCATGGCAACGGTCATATAACCCATGGCAACGGACCGTTAACCCATAACAACGCATGTAAACGCATGGCAACGGACAGTTAACCCATAACAACGTATGTCAGACAGCATGTAAACGCATGGCAACGCATGGCAACGGACATTAACGTAAAGCATGGCAACAGACAGGTAACCGGGGTTACCATGGCAACGGACCGGTAACCCATGGCATCCTCACCCCTTCCTGTTACGTGTTGCATGTTGTCCATTGTTTATTTACTCTCACCAGTCGGCAGCGTCCGCCATGTTTGTCTGTGCTAATGTCATCTGCGGTGTGCTCAACAGCTTATTT